GGTGCGGCCTTGTGCAGGGGCATTTATAGAGGACGGTGGCTGGTGATTGGAGCAAATTATTTGATCTCTCTGGCGTGTGACCTGGGGGTCACGAGTGATATCCCACTAGCGAAGTCCTAAGGGACGTAGCACCATGACGTAGAATGCAGCTGTTTTACAGCCTGTTTGGACAGACCTGTGAGCAGGCCATTACAGTAGTCCAACCTACTGGAGACAAATGCATGGATAAGAATCTCCAAATCTGCTTTAGACACCCTGTTTTTGATCCTGGCAATGTTTTGAGGTGGTGAAAAGCTGTTGATGTTACTGATTTGATGTGGCTATTAGAATTTAAGTCTGAGACCTTTAAATCTGACTTGATTTGAAGGTTTTAGTGAGAGACTGTACAGTGCATCCGGAAAGTATTCACAGCGCTTCAATCTTTTCACATTTTGCTATGTTACAGCCTTATTCCAAAATGGATTGAATTAATTTTTTCCCTCACAATTCTACACACAACACCCCATAATGACATCATGAAAAAGTTTTTGTGAGATTCTTGCAAATGTATTAAAAATAAAAAAAGAATACATCACAAGTATTCACAGCCTTTGCCATGAAGCTCAAAATTGAGCTCAGGTGCATCCTGTTTCCACGGATCATCCTTGAGATGCTTCTGCTGCTTAATTGGAGTCCACCTGTGGTAAATTGATTGACTTGATTTGGAAAGGCACACACCTGTATATACTGTATAATATCCCACAGTTGACAGTGCATGTCAGAGCACAAACCAAGCATGAAGTCAAAGGAATTGTCTGTAGACCTCCAAAACAGGATTGTCTCGAGGCGCATGTCTGGGGAACGGTACAGAAACATTTCTGCTGCTTTGAAGGTCCCAATGAGCACAGTGGCCTCCATGATCTGTAAATGGAAGAAGTTTGGAACCACCAGGACTCTTCCTAGAGCTGGCCGGCCATCTAAACTGAGCGATCGGGGGAGAAGGGCCTTAGTCAGGGAGGTGACCAAGAACCCAATGGCCACTTTGTCAGAGCTCCAGCGTTCCTCTGTGGAGAGAGGAGAACCTTCCAGAAGGAAAACCATCTCTGCAGCAATCCACAAATCAGGCCTGCATGGTAGAGTGACCAGACGGAAGCTGCTCCTTAGGTCGGAGTTTGCCAAAAGGCACTTGAAGGACTCTCAGACCTGAGAGACAAAGATTGAACTCTTTGGTGTGAATGCTAGGCGTCATGTTTGGAGGAAACCAGGCACTGCTCATCACCAAGCCAATACCATCCCTACAGTGAAGCATGGTGGTGGTAGCATCATGCTGTGGGGATGTTTTTCAGCAGCAGGAACTGGGAGACTAGTCAAGATAGAGGGAAAGATGAATGCAGCAATGTACAGAGACATCCTGGATGAAAACCTGCTCCAGAGCGCTCTTGACCTCAGACTGGGGCGACGGTTCATCTTTGAGAAGAACACCAACCCCAAGCACACAGCCAAGAAAACAAAGAAGTGGCATCAGGACAACTCTGTGAATGTCTTTGAGTGGCCCAGCCAGAGCCCAGACTTCAATCCAATTGAACATCTCTGGAGAAATGAAAATGCCTGTGCACCGACACTCCCCATCCAACTTGATGGAGCTTGAGAGGTGCTACAAAGAGGAATGGGCAAAACTGCCCAAAGACAGAGGCTGTAATTGCTGCCAAAGGTGCATCAGCAAAGTACTAAGCAAAGGCTGTGAATACTTACGTACATGTGAAGCATATGCTTGTTTGTTTAACAAATACCAAAAATCCTGGATGTAATATAACAGCAGAATTAGAAAGATCTCCCATGGGAGGTATTGATGCTATTTGATCCAAATAGATTTTATCCAAATGGATAGATATTGGCTTGTACTAAGTACATTTGGACAGAAATAAACCAAACTAAATACAATTTCACACAGTGTTTGGTTTTGCTTCTGGGCAGTAGACAAAAAAAAACGTTGTGTTCCTGTTGTTTCGACCAGTCTGGATTAGATTCATGATTATAGTAGTTAAAAAAAGACAACCAAAAATAAAACAGAAACATCCGCCACTCGATTATAAGTCAATCTCTATACAGTATCATAGTGTATGCACTGTAATAAGTGAATCAGACCAAACGTTGATGTAAAATATTTTAAGTAATTACTATATACTTCATTTTCCACTATTCTATATTTTTGGTTAACAAATAAGTACTGTATAATATTATCATAGCGCCCTTTATGAAGTCACTTTACTGCCCATCATACGTCACTTTACTTCACTGTACTGCTGTCACCTTACATTGTGTGCACCATGTGCACTTGTATATTGTAAATAGTAACTGTAACTCTATTTTAAATTTAAATTTATTCTTTAGAAGTGTTTTTTATTCTTATTTTTATTATCTCTTTCTGACTGTTGCACTGAGCCAAAGCAATTTCCAAGTCTGTGACCTCCTGTTACTTACGTGGCAATAAAAATGATTCTGATTCTGTACAATACTGATTTTATTGCTTTAAGTGAAAATACTTTAAATATTTCTTCAATAAGCCTGGTGGTCCATTAATGACAAAACAAATATATTGTGTTGATTGAAAACAAAATGTGGCGAAGCAGTGATGCTACCCAGAATGCATTGCAGAGCAAAATATAAACTTCTTAAAAATTCTACATTTGACCATTCATTTTAAGAATGAAGATGAAGCAAGTCCTAAAGCAAAATACTTGAGCAACATTTTGAATAAACTAAGTTGATCAAGTAAGTAATTGTATTTATTTTTACCAACCGTGATCGACAGGGTCAAGCCAAACTAGCCCTATACTCCCTGGGTTCAAATCAGACATCAGATACTACAACATGGTCATGATGCTTGCTTAAAATCAAGTCCTAAACGGGTTGGAAGAACATTTACTCCCCAGCATGAGAGTTACAGAGTTCAAAAGCACAATGTAAGGATTACAAAAACTAACAAACTTTCCCCAGGTGGAAGAAAGTTTCATTTTGAATGAATATAAAAATATTGAGTATATTGATCATCTCCAAGTTAGTTTTGCTTTGAAAGGATACACAAATTTTAAGTAAATCCATCACTTCAAAGTAATAGTTTTGCTTTCTGTCAAATTGAATTTAATATTCTTTATTACTTAATAAAGAGCTAAAGTTGATAGTACTCAAAAAGGCCGATGGAACCTCTTACAGAATTTTTTTTGTTTCTGATTAAAGCAACACTTTTTACAGTGTCTTTACTATAGTAAAGATTGTTTTATAGAAAGTACTTTTTGCCATGTAGTGCAACTTCTCCAAAGTCCTTTGAAAATACCTCCCATTATATCACCGTGCAACAGCTCCAGACTGAGACTGCCCCGAGTTTTTATTACGCCTGTTTTTTTCCATATGTCTCGGGACGGAGGGCAGCTATTGATTCTTTAAAGTCCTCATCACAAGATATGGCTACTCATAATTTGGATTAGTTTTAGATTTAGAGACGAGGCCTGCACAAAGTCAATAGAAGCTTGAAATGTGAACGATCATAAGGCTTTCTTATCTCCACTCCCTCCTTTGTATTATACATTCTTGTTCCTTATAGTGGCAAACACAGAAAGGTGTTTAGAGAGTCTGCTGCAACATAGAAGTGAAGAGAATTATGTGTGACCGTGTGGGACAGTGACAGAGACAGAGATGTGGAAACGCCAAAGAAACGGCTTCTTCCCGGTTTATAACACTATGTTGATCCATACTTATCCCATACTTTCCACTTTGAATATGTGGTAGTTGTTGCAATGTATCCGAATACGAACTGCAATATGTACTATATACTGTAAGAATAATACAGTATTCTTACTTTGATTACTCATTCATGAAGTTCCTTATACTATAATTGTAAAAAAAAAAGAAAGATTGTACAGATTGTTTTAGCGCCACTCCTTAAGTACGTCCTTGTTTTGTTTCTCACTATTACATTGACATTTTGAGATCAAATATCACAGTGCTTTATTTTTCTTGATAGCAAGTTATAACAATGCAGGTGACTTAAGGAAATTCCTTCTTACAAATGATTATTTTTCTAGTAAAAGCAAATGAAGGTGTGTAGTCTTGGAGTTCATAGGACATATCGACAATGCAAAAGATATGCGGGCCTCGGGCCTCATTCTACAGCCTGAGTCCTGGATCTATACCCTGTCCGTCTGTGGGAGCAGATCCCTCCCTCCCTGAAGTTTCTCACTTTTCTCCCCCCGGGGTTTTAGAGTTTTTCCTTACCGAGGCAGGAGGTCTAAGGACAGTGGTGATGATCCAGGACATTCGGCAGTCAACAACATTTATGGACATTTATGTGCATTTATCCACATTTATGGAAATTGGTCATCTGCCCCTCTGAGATCCACATTGAGAGAGGGATCCTCTCCACACAGACGGACGGACTATAGATCCAGGACCTAAACTACAGAACGAGGAACAAGGCGGTTGTGAAACGACGACAGGTTGCAGGACTGAAGCAACTCCCAAGCGGGAAGGGGGTGCAGCCCACAAGGCGTGTCGGGCAGGGCATTCCGCAAGTGTAGATGGAGGGGGGCGGGTTCAGCGGCCCCGTCATCGCGCCATGAAATAGACAATGGGACAACGGGTGAATAGCAACAAACTGACTACAGTCAAAATCCTAATAATGCAAACAGATAAAGTAGGAAGGAGGAGAGGATAGTGCTCAAGTTACTATAGTTCTCCCAGCAAACTGACTTCCTACGCAGCTTGACTGACAATCTTAGACTTCCCTGAGTCTTGCCTACCTAACCATATGCTAAATTGAAGAGGACTGTGTTAAGCCTGGCTTTGAATGTAGAGACCGTGTCTGCTTCCTTATTGTAGATGGGAAGCTGATTCCACCTTAAAGAAGCTTGTTACCTAAATGCTCTGCCGTCAATAGTGTTTTTTGCTGTATGTGTTTTTTTTGGGACACATGGGATGTGTGAAGGTAGCACTGCTCTGAGCTTGTGTTCCTTTGTGTGTTCCAGATTGTGACTCGTCCTGTCTGCAGTGCACTGGTCCTTCCCCAGACTCGTGCATCTCGTGCCCCTCCCTCAGCTCTCTGCTCCGGGGCCGATGTGTGCCCCAGTGCCCAGAGGGGAGCTACAGCAACGACGGACTCTGCATAGGTATAATCAACACGCAATCAACATGTAATCATTGTGAAAGTACAGCAATTACATTTAATTACATGTGAGCTTACAGATCACTAATTAAATGTTGTGGAAAAAGTAGCTCATTATATACTGTAGCTACAACAGGGAAAACCAGACAGATAAAAATAACTGATGAAAATGAAAATGAAAATGGAATGCTGCAGGTTGGAGACTAGGGCTGGAGAATAGAGTGTGTATGTATATGAGAATAATATATATTATTTAACAACAGTTTAAATACAAAGTTACAGTGACTTGCAAAAGTATTCGGCCCCCTTGAACCTTTCAACATTTCGCCACATTTCAGGCTTCAAACATAAAGATATAAACATAAAAAAAATTTCAAGAATCAACAACAAGTGGGGCACAATCGTGAAGTGGAACCAAATTTATTGGATAATTTAAACTTTTTTAACAAATAAAAAACTGAAAAGTGGGGCGTGCAATATTATTCGGCCCCCTTGCGCTTATACTTTGTAGCGCCACCTTTTGCTGCAATTACAGCTGCAAGTCGCTTGGGGTATGTCTCTATCAGTTTTGCACATCGAGAGACTGGATTTCTTGCCCATTCTTCCTTGCAAAACAGCTCAAGCTCAGTGAGGTTGGATGGTGAGCGTTTGTGAACAGCAGTCTTCAGCTCTTTTCACAGATTCTCGATTGGATTCAGGTCTGGACTTTGACTTGGCCATTCTAACACCTGGATACGTCTATTTGTGAACCATTCCATTGTAGATTTGGCTTTATGTTTTGGATCATTGTCCTGTTGGAAGATAAATCTCCGTCCCAGTCTCAGGTCTTTTGCAGACTCCAACAGGTTTTCTTCCAGAATGGTCCTGTATTTGGCTCCATCCATCTTCCCATCAATTTTAGCCATCTTCCCTGTCCCTGCTGAAGAAAAGCAGGCCCAAACCATGATGCTGCCACCACCATGTTTGACAGTGGGAATGGTGTGTTCAGGGTGATGAGCTGTGTTTCTTTTACGCCAAACATATCGTTTTGCATTGTGGCCAAAAAGTTCGATTTTGGTTTCATCTGACCAGAGCACCTTCTTCCACATGTTTGGTGTGTCTCACAGGTGGCTTGTGGCAAACTATAAACAAGACTTTTTTTGGATATCTTTGAGAAATGGCTTTCTTCTTGCCACTCTTCCATAAAGGCCAGATTTGTGCAGTGCACAGTGAGGATGCATATGCTAAGTGTCTTTTGTTGTGTTGGTTTCTTCCTTTCCCATCTGCATACGAAGGTGTGTCTTGCTCAACCAAAAGGGGCTTTCCATCTGTGAATCTTCAGACTTGTCCTGAGAGAGGCTACGGTCTGTGCCTTGCCTCTGTCAAGACATTCTCCTTGTACAATGTAACACGTAAAAGATTAACTTTGTCTCTTTGTTGTGTGAGATTTCATCAGGTTCAACTGTAGCTGAAACAGCATTATCAATTACACACAGGTGCATTCTATTTATCATCATCAGTCATTTAGGACAACATTGGATCATTCAAAGATCCTCACTGAACGTCTGGAGTGAGTTTGCTGCACTGAAAGTAAAGGGGCCGAATAATATTACACGCCCCACTTTTCAGTTTTTTATTTGTTAAAAAAGTTTAAATTATCCAATACATTTTGTTCCACTTCACGATTGTGTCCCACTTGTTGTTGATTCATGACAAAAAATTACAAAACTTTATGTTTGAAGCCTGAAATGTGGCGAAATGTTGAAAGGTTCAAATACTAATCCAAATACTTTTGCAAGGCACTGTAAAAACAGCATGAGCATAGGATGATGTAGTTAAGTAAGTGACTAGGCTTGTCTAAACAGATGAGTTTTGAGGGTGCATTTGAAATTAAATATCACAATAACGACATAAATCACATTATAAATAGTGCTGGGAAAATGAAAAATACTCAATGGTGCAAAAAGGTTGACTACCTTTTGTGCCAGTTAAACATTATTTGCTGTTGTCACATTTCTTGGTTATTATGGATTTCAAAATGATTGGAGTGTACACAGCTGCATGGGTTTTCCCAGGCAAAGAATGAACAGAAATAATGCATAAACATTTTTCTTAAAATTACATTTAAAGTGATAGTCTGTAACTCTAAATGAATTGCAAATTTTAGGAAATGTGTAAAATTGACCTCCTGGCCTTAAATGTTGATATAAATTAAGTCATTTTATTAATTCTAATATTACGGGCAAGTCCCGCCTTCCCTTCTCTTAGCTCTAGTTCAGAATTCACAATTCCGTCCACGTTAACCAATCGAGTCATGCCAAGGGCTGTCAATCATCAGCGCTGATACTCGTAGCTGCGCGCATGCTCAGTTGATTGTTTTTACGGAGCCTCCGAATCAAGCCTTTATAGGCTCTGGAACTACATGAAAACTGAACAAAGAATTCTGAACATCCTCGCTGAGTTACTCATTTATATACTGAACCTATATACATAATCAGATCCTCTGCAGATGTGTCCTATAATATGATAATAGCTTCTTCCGGGTTTGCCGCGATCGTTTTTTTGTGCATTAAAACATCATTTTTTTCATGAAAACGTTAACAAATAATTCTGAAAACCTCCCTGCATGTGTATTAATAATGTATATGTATAATGTGTTCTCTGATTAACATTTCAATGTGTTACGGAAACGTAGGTGTAGACCAATCAGAAAGGAAGGGGGAGGGAGCTTGCATCGTTTTTTTCAAATCAAGCACCTCTCCGTCTCTCTTTCTGACAAACTCCAGACAATTACTTTAATGTGTCATTTTCAATGTTATTTCCAAGACCTCTGTTCTTCTTGGTGTTTTGCAGACTGTAACCCATCCTGTCGCTCGTGCTCGGGTTCATCTCAGGCTGACTGCACTTCCTGTGGCTCTGGAGCCTCTCTGACCAACGGCTTCTGTAGGAGCAGCTGTGGAGAGGGACACTACTACAACCCCACCACCAGCACCTGCACCAGTAAGTCCACACTAGTGATGGATTTGCCATTGGACCTGGAGACAACTGTTGTACTTTTATTTGTTCCATCGGAAGTGCTGCTTTGCAATTTTATGAATTGATGTCCGACTTTTTCTGGATTTTCTGTAATCTTTCTCATCCAAACACAATGACTTGAGTTTTTCCAAAAAGGTTCTATCTTGGTTTCATCTGACTATAGGACATTCTTCCAAGTCTCTTCTAGATCATCCAAATGCTCTCTATTAAACTTCAGACAGGTCTGGACATGTACTGGCGTAATCAGGGGACACGTCTGGCATGACATTCAAAGAACACCTTACCTACTATGAAGCAGGGAGGTGGAAACATAAAGATTTGGGGTTGTTTTTTCTGTCTCAGAGCAGAGTAGGAGCCAGGAAGAAATCCATTTCTTTCAAAGCATTAATAAAATAAATGTATATTTAAAAAATGCATTGCATAAATCATAGTGATCAGATCTATATCCACATCCAAAATTATTATTTAAAGGAATACTGTCAAAATCTACAGAGTGTGAAGCGGCTGGGATGAGAATCAGCACCTCCAAATCTGAGGCCATGGTGCTCGACCGGAAAAAGGTGCCTTGCCCTCTCCAGGTGGGTGGAGAGGTCCTTCCTCAAGTGGAGGAGTTCAAGTATCTCGGGGTCTCGTTCATGAGTGAGGGAAGGATGGAGCGTGAGATTGACAGGCGGATCGGTGCAGCGTGCGCAGTGATACGGTCGCTGTATAGGACCGTTGTGCTAAAGAGGGAGCTGAGCCGAAAGGCAAATAGACGCCTCCCTGGGGAGGTGTTCCGGGCACGTCCTACCGGAAGGAGACCCCGGGGGAAGACCCAGGACACGCTGGAGAGACTAAGTCTCTCAGCTGGCCTGGGAACGCCTTGGGGTCCCCCCGGACGGGCTGGAGGAAGTGTATGGATAGGGAAGTCTTGGCGTCTCTGCTTAGACTGCTGCCCCCGTGACCAGGCAACCGATGAAGCGGAAGAAAATGGATGGACTGTCAAAATCTCACCTCAATCTCGTGGCACCATCTTGTGTCTTTTCCCATCGCTACATTGCACATCAGGAATACTAAAAGTGGTTTTTATACTTTGGGTCAGCTCAAAAAATGTATAATACCTTATTTATATTTATACAATATGAAACGTCAGCTGTTATGCTCTCACTTACAGAGCAGCCATCCTCCTTTGGACTCACCACCTGCAGAAGGTTCAGTGAGGGGCTGGTGCTGTGTGACTTGGGTGGCATCTCTGAATGCCACCCCCCCGACCCAGAAATTTAAGGGGTAGAAAATGGATGGATGGATGGAAAAGTCAGCTGCAGCATAGTGTGTATTAAATATGCAGTTGTCTTATTACTATTTGCACATTCTACAGGGAGTTGAACCAGCAGCTTGCCCATGAATATATGTATGTGAGCTTAATTTAGCCAAGCATTATTTAGAATTAATAGTATTTTCTTCTGTGGCAGCTTTAATGGGGTGTAACGCCGAGATACACTGCCTTGAAGAGATGCACTGCCTCAGCTGTTTATAATCTAATGCAAACCTGCGCATGCGCGTCTCACGGCAGCCGAAGAAACCAAGATGGCGGACTGTGAATTTCTTTAAAAGTTAAAATACGAACGAATTAAGCCACGAATGTCACTTTTAATGAAATTTGAGGCGAGATGTTGATGCTTCCGTTTTGTCACATGTGGGTTTCAAGAGTCAAAGTTTCGTGCAAAGTTTAGTTTAAGCAGTCAACTGCGCCTGTGAAACCACAAAGCTAATCTTTTCATAGCAGCCTCCGCGGCTGCTGACGTAGGCTGATGACGCGTCCTGTGGCAACTCTACAGCTTACAACTGGTCTGTCGGGTTGATAATGGAAATAAATACATTTAATTTAATACATGTATCGTGCTGTGTTCAATATGATTAACAATAGTGTGTTTAAACAAAATATTTAATTAGATCATTTTTTTTCCCTATTTTCCATTAACCCGACAGACCAGTTGTAAGCTGTAGAGTGGCCACAGGACGCGTCATCAGCCTACGTCAGCAGCCGCGGACTGCTATAATAACATTAGCATTGTGGTTTCACATGCACAGTTGACTGCTTAAACTAAACTTTGCACGAAACTTTGACTCTTAAAACCCACATGTGACAAAACGGAACCATCAACATCTCGCCTCAAATTGCATTAAAAGAGACATTTGTGTCTTAATTCATTCGTATTTTAACTTTTAAAGAAATTCACGGTCCGCCATCTTGGTTTCTTCGGCTGCCGTGAGACGCGCATGCGCAGGTTTGCATTACATCATGAACAGCTGAGGCAGTGCACCTTCAAGGCAGTGTATCTCGACGTTACAGGGGCTTTAATGCATACAGTAATGGACCCATGAGACTATAGAGATGACCATCCTTTATTCAGTGGTCTTTTACTGTAGTGTTGAGACCATAGTTGAGACCCATAAGTAGATGGATTATTTTTAGTAGAGCTTTCCCTGGGCATCATTATCAATACTATTAGTCTGGGGGGGAAAAGCTCTTGATTTGACTTTATAATTTAAAAAGGAAACACAAAATCAGTGACAGAAATAAAAAAAGACAAATATTTGAGTGAAACCAGGTCCCTGTATAGAAAGTGACCCGGAATCAGTAGCTGCCCTTTGGTGCATTAATGGCAAAGGGCTCAGAATGTGAATGATCCACGATAAAAAACGAATCAATTTTTGATAATAATTTATTAGGCCATATGTGTAGGGCCTATACAGCTAATTAAAAAGATACACAATGATTTCATCATGTCAAGGTTGAGGATACGGTGAAGGTACAGTAGTGCCTCAGTTTTACTGGGGGTAATATTCAAAACTACAAATAACCTGAAATAAGCAAAATCCCTGAAGTAGCAGCTAAGGCAAGGCAACTAAAAGTGCTGAACAAAACAAGATAGAGACAGTCACACAAGACATTCAAATAAATAATTACAGTACATTAGAAAAATGTAGATATAAAATCCTTCCGTTGTATGCAAAGCTAAACAGAACTGTTTTTAACCTGGATTTAAATATTGTCAGAGAAGAGACCTGTCTCACATTTTCGGGAAGATTGTCCCAGATTTTAGCTGCATGAATCTGAAATGCAGCCTTCCCATGATTAGTTCTGACTCTGGGCTATATGTTTTAAGACCATCACTACACACTTCATACACTTTCAACCACCTGAACTTACGACTGCAAAGTGCGATCACAGATAAATCAAACCTGTTATTTGTAGGTCTGAGTGCTGCTGCAGCTGTCAAAATCCATGCATTCATTGTAAAATAAAAAAGGAGCAGGACTGAGGGTTATGGGAAGTCTGTGGTAGTCCTCTGAACTAATAACCGGGGTGCACATAAGCCACAAAAGTTTACTTCTAACACTATATATTACATTCTGTGAGGTATGAGTGCTACCCACTCATAGTGGGTAGCTAGGTATCTGGGTATGGAAATTATGATTTCATCTTTTTCATTTTAGAGGGATATTGTAGTACCTGGGCAACACACTGGGCTCAAGATGACTTATTGACCTTAAATCTCCAACAGAGAGAAATGTTTTGTTCAGAGCGACCTGCTGTCTAAAGAAAGTCAAGACAAAGAAACAATTAATAAGCACAAAAACTTCATCCAAAGTCAAGGAGAAAATGATTAAAAACTGCCCTAAATAGCAACGCTAATTTAATGCCTCTATTTTCAACATTGGTAATACAAAATATGTCAACTATTTAATTTGCATATTTGCAAAGTCCCGTGCAATACGTCTACATTGAGAATGGACACAATAGTTTGTATATTTGCATCAGCTTTTCTGTTACTAAACAATCTAAGCCTTTACTTTATATGTGTTTTTTCGGAATCCACTGAAATTGTGAAGTTTGAGACATATTGCGGTTGGGTTTACAATGGGGTCAGGGCTGAACTGAGGCAGAGTTTGACGTTATTGTGTGAAATTCTACTGACAGGTTTGGTCTGTTGTTTGGATATAAGCTCATTTAGCAACAGAAGAGGAGTGGGAAGAAAAGGAGGAAAGAGGGGGAGACAGAGAGACAGCTGTTCTGGTCTCACAAGAACCAGAGTCTTCATGAATTTATGACGTTACATAACAAGTGATCTGACGGGGCAGAATTTAATCAGGGCGCTGTGGTTCAGATATCGCTGAGAAGGGGAAATGTAACAGAAATTGGAACATTTTCAGAAAGGGACAGAAAGATGAATTTGTATCTGGGATGGTATACTTTAACCCTGTATCACCCTCGATTTCAAAAATGCAACATAAAGTTCAACGGTTATGGCAAAAGAAGTATGACTTTTTGGTTTAATGCATCAACTAATGTATGTAAAGAACTCAAAGAAGCAATTATACAACACAAAGTTGGTCATTGAATTCTGCTTTACAAAAAAAGCTCCGATAAAACTTTTCAACAAATATGTTAATGTCTGGGTTCGACAAAGTTAATTCGACTCATTTGGTCTTAGTGCAAAAAATGAAAATTCTGTCAGTTTTTTTATTATTTGAATTCATTAACTTATGTGGATGGATGTATTTACAGTGAGGTAAAATATTTTACTTTCTGGTTTGAAGAAAATGTTGACTAGTTATAAGACATTTTATTTTTTTTAGCCTTTTAGCTAAGACTTAGATTTAAAGTCTTAGCTTATACCTATAAGATGTTTTTTATAGTAACAGTTTGCACAGTTATGATAAGAAGTGATATTTTACTTTGTGTATAAATAGTTCATTTGCAAAAACAGATGCTTGAGATCAGAAAAATATCAGAAATTTTTTCTCTTAAACAACTTATATTTTAGTGTCATACAAATACAGTTTTACCCGCCCTTGAGCAAATCATTTAAAATGTACTGGCGATGACAAAGCATGTTAACGATTGTAACCAGAGGACGCAATACACAACATTTTGACACATTTTCAAAACGCAGACCTCTGTTTTTGAATTAAATCTT